TATTTAATTTGAGGTGGTGATTTGCAGTCACAACATTTTCCTTTCTTTCGCTTTTCGTCAATTAAGAGTGGCCATGTCATATTTTATCTCCAAAGAACTAATCTCCAATAACAGATGAACCCATTTAGGCTTCACAATTAGATTATTTCATTTACTTCTTCCTGTGTATTTGTTCTCAAAATGATAATCTCATAATATTAGTATTTTGTTATTTTTGTTTTTCTCTTTCACAGTGCTATAATCTAACCTGACCCTGGAATTAACTTTTTTAAAGTTTTATAATATTTGCACGGAAATCTTCCCTTTAATCAAACTCTTCTCTTTTCATTCATCCCAAATAGTTTCTTTGAAAGGGTGACATATCTTAAAAGAAATGGAGAAAGTGGTCCTGGCTGGTTTGGCTCAGTGGTTAGAGCGTCGGCCCGTGGACCAGAGAGTCCTGGGTTTGGTTCCCGCTAAAGGCATGTACCTCGGTTGCAGTTTGTCCCCGGCCCCGGTTGGGATCGTGTGGGTGGCAACCACTCTGTGTGTCTCTCTCACATCGATGTTTCTCTCTCTCTCTCTTCCTCCCTCTCTCCCTCCTGCTCTATCTGAAGATACATGCAAAAATGTCCTTGGGTGAGGATAAAAATAAATAAATAAAATATTAAAAAAAAAAAAAAAAAAAGAAATGGAGAAAATACCATTTACTTATCTACTGGATAACCCTGAAAAAAAAAAATCTCAAAATTCTAAAGTGTTTGTGGAATGTGTTTCAGTGTTGTTGTTTTTTCTTCTTTAATCCTCACCCGAGGATGTTTTTCTATTTATCTTCAGACAGAGTGGGAGAGAGGGAGGGAAAAAAGGAGGGAGAGAGAGAGAGAGAGAAGGAGAGAGAGAGACATCGATGTGAGAGAGACACATCATTTGGTTGCCTCCTACACGACTCGACCAGGGTTTGGGACCGAACCGCAACTGAGGTACGTGCCCTTGACTGGAATCAAACCCAAGACTCTTTGGTCTGTGGGCCAACTCTCTAACTGCTGAGCCAAACTGGTCAGCACTGTTTCAGTGTTTTATATGTCTTATGTTGACTGAAAAATTCTTGTGCAGAAATCACTTTTAACAGGAAGACTTGGTCATGATCAGGCAAATTAACGGTGCTTGGTAGACAAATTTGCACTGGTAATTTTCCTAGTTTGCTATACACACTGAAAACATCCCAGATATATGTTTTCTCCAACTGAACTACGTTAGTTTCCTGAATGCTTAGTATTTTTGTGCATACTATTGGTATAGATATTTCAGGTTTAATTTATTTCCTGAAAGTAAGAGTACTTATTACTCCCATTTGTTGAGCATCTACTCCAGGCCAGCCACTGCGCAGGCCTGTGCTGGCCAATGTAGTAGCCATTACCATATGTGGGCCACTGACCACTTGAAATGTGACTAGTCCAAATAAAGATATACTGTAAGTGTAAAATGCACTTCAGATTTCAAAGACTTGCTATGAAAAAGAGAACATAAGAAATCTGAATAATATTTTATTATTCAGTACATGTTGAAATGCTGGTATTTTCAATCTTAGGTTAAATATTAAAAACAAAACAAGTGAAACCTGTTTCTTTTTATTTTTTAAATGTCACTAGTAGAAAAATTTAAATTTCATATGTGCCTCATATTGTTGCTTACATTATGTTTGTAGAACGGTGCTAGCTTAGGTGCTCCATACCCCTAGAAATGAATGAATGAGACAAGCTATTCTTTCCTGAACTCTGAGGACAGCTCATAAGAGTCTACTGGGATAAAATCAAATCAAGTTAGGGTTTAATAGAAGCTTATTACAATTCAACCTCATTTGATAATTGAGAATACTGAGTCCCACAGAAATCTCACACCTTATATGCACTACCCACTGAATAGAGAAAAGCAAGGTATTGATCTAATACCAGCATTTTCTCTGTCATCATCAGTGGAAAATGCCTTGGTGAGGATACCAGAAGTATCCAGGGACAAAGAACCTAGATTCTAGAGTACTAGTAAATTGTCTGCTGTACTACCTGTACAACTGTCTCAGCCACTACAGTTTCAATGAATTCACTCTGCAACTGATCAGAGCTATGCAAGACAGATATCAGGCTGAGCCACAGTCTCATGTAGGAGGGACAAGCTGGGCTGGGCAAGGAGGTCCAGGATGGATACCTTAGGACAGTGGGACATTGTGACATCATCAGTGATAGTCTTGGGTGGTTTCCCATCAGTGGTCCCCCAGTCTTAGCTGTTACTGCAAGTCCATTCCTCTACCATGAGTGTGGAGCTGCTAAAATCAACAGATCCACATGTACCTTGAGGTGACAGACTGGCTCTGGTAAATATTCCCATTTTCCTATTTAGAAAGTGACCCACTGGAATAATGTTTTTGTTGGCCCCTTTGTGTGAAGAGGACAGTGGTGCCCAGTTTCCTAGAGACAGTCCTTGAGGTTTACCCCTTTGTCCTGATTAAGGATTCTTCTTCAAATGGTTCAGAATGTGGGGGAGAAAGTCCCAGGCAGTCAGTCGTTTCTTCGGCTTCACCTGTAACGCTTGTCAGGAAGGGGAGAGCCAAAAGGCTTCCGCTATTCTGGTGAGTTTGGCATGCATTTGGGACTGTGGCTCTCATGTTAGACTTCCTGCAACTACACTGGGCTTATCCCTGCCCCTGATGCCTGCTCCTGTCTGCTTCACCCTCAAAAAATTTTTACTCTTACACATTTATAAATAGGCATGCTTGATTTCAGTAAGCACATTTATGTAAATGTTGGGCAAAATTGAGTCCACCCAAGTTAAGTGTGGGAAGGTGGTGGCTGAGCATCCCATACTAGTGCCTTTGAACTGTAACTATATACATAGTTACCCTGCAGGCTTAATTTTAGCTAGATGAATACCAGAAATGTTAGCAATCTGTCTTTTCAGATTACTCTGGCTCTTTCTCTTTGCAAAAAGACAGATTTTTAAAGTATGGAATTCTTGATTTTACATGTTACCTTAAACAGAATTGCAACACTTTTATCAGTGAATATACTTAGCCTAAAATGAATTTTTAAGGATCTGAGGCAACAATTATTTTCAAATAGTTGTATGTTTTACCTTGAAAAATTACACCATCTACATATACTCTGTACTAATTTATGTAGCTAGTGGTATACAGTGAATATATGTGTGTGTATATATTCTGCTCTCTATATACATATGTACACATAAATGTGTGTATATATACATATCTATATCTATATCTATATATCTATAGAGAGAGGGAGAATGAGGATAGCGGGTTTTAGCTAGAAATTTCCATCTTATTTTTTATTATTGTATTGCGATTGTCACTACAGAAAATAATCTTTACAAGTTCTGTGCTTAAAACAACCTCAAAGCATTAACTATTTGAAAATTTATGACAGAATTACTATGAATACGTTAATGAATGTCCTTTATTTAATCAAATCTTGTAATTTATGCTTTGTGCTCAGGATTTTTCCACTTAAAAATCATCAGGACAATTTTAACAAATATGTTTCTCACATTCAATAATAATGATTAATAAGCCTCCATTTCACATACAGTACTATAGCTTGGAAGTATAGGAATGGGTACAGTTGCTACTACATTTACCATCTGACCATATGGTATAATATACATCTGCCAAGGAGGACATTCCATTACAATAACAACATAGGTATAGTCTTAAGGCAAATCGACATATATCAGTTAGCTATCTTCTTTCTTTTAATTTATCCAACCATTACCATGTAGCACATATATATGTCATATATGCCAGGCACTAACTGTGGCACTGAAAATTGAAGATGTATTCAACTGGGTCTCTGGCCTGGAGCAGTACACAGTCTGGCACGGAAGGTGGTCATGCAGGCAAATGATTACCATATGATGTCATAAGAGCAACAGAAGGTGTCACAGAAGTGTTAGAATCCAGGAATACGATCAGGAGACAGTCACGGAGAAGATGGTCTTTGAGTTGAGTATGAGGTCTTGGTAGGAAATTGTGGGGTGGTTAAGAGAATAGACCCTGTAGCTATACTACTGGGTTTAAATCCCAGCTCTACTACATACCAGCGGAGGAACTGTAGGCATGCTATTTAATCTCTTGTGCTTTAGAGTCCTCTGCAGAATAGGCACAATCACTGGGCATAGCTCATAGGACTGAAGTGAGGATTATGTGTGTTAGTATGTATCATGGGTTTAAATTAGTACACGGTGCATGGAAAGTCCTCGGTCAGTGTTAGCAAGTATGCCAGGGATAGCAGAAAGCAAGAAAGCAAGGAGAAGTTGGGCAGGCTTGGATTATTAAAACTGACACATGAGGTACATTTGTGTGGGAGGTGGAGGGAAATGGCAAGGTGAGTGGACAGATTATAGGGAGACAGCCTTACAGGCCACACCATAGAGGCTCATGTTTATGGAACCATTGGAGTATTTTAAGGAATGAATTCAGATTTGTATTATAGAAAGGCAACTCTGGAGAGGTGGGGAAAGAGCGGAGACCAGAAGATTTGTCAAGAGGCTAATGATAAGATGAGAAGAGATATGATAAAGGCTTGGCTGAGGAATGGGGAAGGCAGAGTGCAGATTCAAAGTTATTTAGGAGGTAAAATTGACTGCAGGTGACCAATTAGATTAAGGGTGATGAGGTAGAAGAAGTCGTGGATGACTCTTAGATGTCTAGGTTGGACGATTTGGTAAAAAGACAGGAGGGGGATAAGGTTTTGGATTTGTCAAGATTGAGGGGCCTCTGGAATGACCAAAATTAATGTTGAGGCCTGCCTCTCGGGAGCTAGAAGTCAAAATTTAGGACTCCTCAAGATAAAGGTAGTAGTTGATATTGTGGGAATGTGAATGAGAGCACGACACAAGTTGTTTACAAGAAGAGATTCAGGGATGGTTCTGGAAAACCCAACATTTAACAGCCAATGAGAGCTGAGTCAGCAAAGGAGGGTAGTCACAGGGGAAGGAGGAAATGTGGAAGAAAGTGGACCATGGAAAATGGTGGAGAGAAAATTTGAAGTGTTCAAATGCAGGAGAGGGGTCAAACAGAATTAAGAACTGTCCACTGGAGTTGGCAATTAGGCAAAAGCTTAAGAAAATCTATAACAGTGTAGAGAAAGAGATACAGTGAATCTTCTTCATTGAGACCCTAGGTATAGTTGCTGCTTCAGATCAAAGGCTAGGTAAACTGGAGAACATCCATGGATATGGTCTGGCTTCAGTCTTGCTGCATGAGGCAGATCTGGTCCATCCTCACAGAGCCTAGCAAGGAGCATGGCATATTAGTATGTGCCCACTAAAGATTGGTGGAAAGAATAGATGAATGTCTGTGTTGGCCAGGGATCTGTCTTGGTAAATATATGGCTGGCTCCAGGGGGCTTTAGGAGGCCCCCCAGAGTTGCCAAAGTTCTGTTGCTTTGATAAGAACTTCAAAGTTGTCAAGTTATAATGTTCATCTTGTAGCTTATGCCAGTATGGGGGGGGGGTATGTTAGAGGTGAAGTTGATAACACCTCCACTCAGGTTGATTCTGTTCTGAAACATATTAACTTTTGGCTGATTCTTAGTGGTGATTTCCTGATGTGTGCTTTATTGTCTCTTTAAAAAAAAATTTTTTTTCTTTATTGATTTGAGAGAGGAAAGGAGAGGGAGGGAAAGACAGAAACATCCATGAGAGAGAACATCGATTGGCTGTCTGCTGCATGCCCCCCGCTGGGGATTTGGCCCACAACCTGGGGATGTACCCTGACCCAGGACCTCTTGGTGCATGGGTGGATGCTCAACCACTGACCCAAACCTCCAGGCTATTATCTCTTATTACCTCCCTCCCTCCGTGTGTGAAAAGTGTCTCATGTCTCCAGTTGCACAGTCCATTTCTTAAGGGCAGGGACCACTCCAAAGAGTCTTTTGCAAGGCCTGCAGCATACCTGTCCACTTGACCCTTAGCTCAGAATCCCGGTACCCTCATCCTCACCAGAATTAGAACCAAGAATAGGTCAAGCCTGGACTGTCCACCTGCCCTGACATCCGTCAACCGTCAGTGAAATATATGTTCGCTACTTCCCAAAACCTACCCTAGGAAGGTTGGCCTGATTGGAAATTTAGAGCAAACAGCTGCGCTGACACTGCACCTTCGGCCACCAGCTCAATGCTTGGGGTCTTGGATGCCCAGTCCTCCTCGCCTGGAAACCTGGCGCTGTGCTGCTGGTCTCGCTGTGGCCACGTGTCTGCAAGAGCCTGTGCAATATAAAGGGCACGACAGCTCCCACATGGCTAGACTGAGGTCCCCTCACTTGCACATGGAGGACCTGATGCAGCCCAGATACTGGAACTGGGGTTGGAGGGTGGAAGAAAGCGTGGGGGTGGTGCTTTCACTCTTTTCTTAAATCCCTTTTTTGTTTTTTTGTATTGATGCGGTGGTTTGGGATGGATCCAGCGCCTCAGTCCTATCCCTTCCAGGCGCCCCTTGCTGCTCAAGTTACTGGCCACCGCTCGTGCCCCTCGAGCCGGTGTAGACACGGCCGGGCGGTCCGACGGCGGAAGGAGCGCGAAGGAAGCGGAGGTGGGTGTCCACCGCTCCCCTCCCGGCGGAGGCCGCCCGGCGCGGGGGGGATGCCGGCGCGCGGAGGGCGTGCGTCGCCCCTGCCCCCCCGCCCGGGAGGACCCCGCGCCCCGGGGAACCCCCGCGCGGGGCTCCCGCCACCCGCCCCCATCCCTCCGCCTCTCCCAGGCCCGGGGCTGCCTCCTCGGGCCGCGCCGGGGCCGCCCCGTACTGCGCATGAGCGGGAGCCCGGCGAGCCCGTGAGAGGAGCCGCCGCCGCCGCCGCCGTCCATTCGCTGCGGAGCCGGAGGAGGAGGGGAGAGGCCTGGAGGACACCAACATGGTGAGGCACTGCGGCCGACCGCCCGCCCGCCCGCCCGGGGCCGGCGCCGCCGCGCACCCCCGCCCCGGCCGTCCCCCGCCCCGCGGCGACCCCGCCGCCCCGAGCCTCGGCCCGCGGCCTCCGTCCCGCTCCCCGGCGGGGCTCTCCTTCCCGCCTCTCCCTTCCTCCTTTGCCCCTTCCCGCCCGGCGCTGCCGCTACGCGAGAGCCGAGGAGGCGGAGCGGAGCGCAGCCGGGCCTAGTCGGGAGCCCCGAGGAGTTTGGGGCGCGGGGAGCGGCCTCCGGTACCCCTCGCCGGGGCCGGGCGCGGGGCCGGGAGGCGTTGGGGCGGGGGGAGGGGAGGGGACAACGGCCCCCTCCTGCCCGGTCCCCTCGCCGGCTCCATTGTGTCTGGCCGGGGACCGGGTCCGGGGTTCCGGGTGAGGAGCCTCCCCCCGCCCGGGAGCCGGGGCTTCTCCCTCCGCCCCGCCGGGGATAAGGAAAGACTTTCTCGGAGCTCCTCTCCCCTCCGCTCCCGGCTCCAGCACCCCTGAAGTCTCCAGGCAGTTTTGACCGGGGCGGGGTATCAGCCCTTTCCTTTCTCCATCACCTCTCGCAGCGTCCCATGCTTTCGAAATGAGTTTCACTGGCCAGTTGGTGGAGATTTTATTTACTTCTCCACGGAGAACACGAGAGACCGCTGAGCTTGGGGGACGAGGACGCAAGGGCGGGGGGGGGGGGCAGTACGGAAGTGCAACCTGTTCTAATTTCATAAAATGAGGAGAAACAGACTTGCTGCCTTTTGAGCAGATATTTTATATGCTTGGGGTGGGAGGAGTAATTGCTTTATTACGCCAGTTAAAACGACCATTTGTGATTTTTAAAAAACAGTTTGTCAGGTTGTTCCCCTCTTCTCTTTTTATTTGGAAAAAAAAATGTTTTAAGTGGTGGTCAAGTTATGTTGACATATTGGTAGTTACGTACCTGACTCTGTTGGACTCTTTTTGTTTTTCAGAAACGATATTTGGCATTATAGTCTGAGCATGAGTTGAATTCCATGCAGGTTACTGTATGAATAGACAGTAAAAATGATATTGTTGTCCGTTGGTTCATGGGCAACATAAAGGCTTCTTTGAGGAGGGTGTATGCGTGTGTGTCTGTTAAAGGAATGCCCCAGTGTCTTTTGTTTTTAGTTGGTCTTATTTCTGCTGAATGACAGTTATCTAGCCTCACCCTCCAACTTGGCAAAATTGTGGTGTAATACATAGGTATGTGGTTTAGTTTTCCATATAGTCAAGATTTATATTCTATGAAAAATTCCACAAAAGTTCACCGTTTGTAAGAAAACTGCCATAAAGTACAGGTCAGTGTTGGGGTTGGTACTACAGTGTTCAAAGGTCCACTGGGACATCTATAGAGTTTCTAATTTCTTAAGTATTATGACTGTCATTGACATTACTCTTAAAATTTCCAGATTCTTGGCATGTAGATGAATAGTAAGTGTAAAGTAATGAGATGTAATTCCCTGGTAAACACTGAGAGAGAGCACTGAAATGTGTTCTGTTCTTAATAATCTCCCAATCAGCATCCTGTGGAATCCAAGGTCTTGATAATGCTCATCACCTGTTCAGGAATTCAGGCTTCATGTAGTTCATATGAGAGTATTGGATTGGAGCTTGTAAGCTTCTATCCTTTTGTTAATATTAAATAGCTAGTTTTGGAACTTAGCCATAACTCATCTAATTATACCAGTAGTGATAAGATATTACTAATTTAAAGCACTTTCTGTGACTGAACTCAGATCATGTCACTAGAATTGTCTTGGTATGCTCTAGAACCTAAATTACTGTGGGCCCTAGTAGAAGTTAGGCCATAAGAATTTTCTGGTTAAGAAATTTTTTATTATAAATTTCTTATAACTGTTTCTTGATACAATTTTTGGACTAATGTTAGGGTTTTCTTTTTGGTGTGTGTAGTGCAGTCCATTGTTAGAATACGTGTTGTCAATTCCGGGGCAAGCTTAAATGATGTGAAATATTTTGTATAAGAAGAAAAAGTTCAGAAAACTTTAAAAGTAATTTTAAAAGTAGACAATAGAAATTTTGTTACTCCTGAAAATCTTTTTAAAAGTGTTCAAAATTTCTGAGTTTTCTTTTGTAAGATGACAGGATTGGATTTGATGATTTCTAAAGTTCTATTCAGCTATAAAAATTTTGTTATAATGATTTTTATTGGAGGTGTGGGAAGTGTGTAGACTGTGAAACCACTAGATTTTTATTTACATTATAGAATTTTTAGACCTGAAATGGCTCCAGAGATCATCTTATTTACTCCTCTTCCCCTTTATAGAAGAAGAAATTGAGGATCAAGGAGGTTTTGAGGTTCAAGGTTGCAAAATTGTTTGTTGCAGAACTGAAACTGTTTTCTCCTGATTTACTGTTTCCACCAGTATTTGTGATGCATGCAGTCTTCTGACTCTGAAATCTGGAGAAATGGTTGAAACTTGGATTTGAAAATAAAATACATTACTTATTTAAAACATGAAAACCCAAGTATTATTAATGAATATTTTAAATGACAAAATTCAAATTAATGAATGACTAATGATGTTAATTACTGTTTTTTAAAATGTGTGGACTTTGGCCCTGGCTGGTTTGGCTCAGTGGTTAGAGCGTCGGCCTGTGGACTGATGAGTCTTGGATTCGATTTTGGTCAAGGGCATGTACCTCGGTTGCAGTTCATCCCCGGCCCTGATTGGGGTTGTGCTGGAGGCAACCAACCGATGTGTCTCTCCCTCCACCACCCCCACTCTATCTGATGATAAATAGAAAATATATATATTATATATATATATCTCCTCGGGTGAGGATTTAAAAAAAAAAAGATTAAAAAAATGTGTGGACTTTGAAGTTTAAGATTGTATTTTGAACAAATACCAGAGTGTATAAGTCTGAATGAATGGAGGTCTGTTCAAGATTGTCTCTTAAGAACTTGTTTCACATTTTTGTGTGTGTGTAAATTAAAGGAGTGCCTTAATTCATTTTAATAATTATTAAATATCTAATATGTCAGGCTCTGTTTAGTCCTGTTAAGGAGGGGAATTGGGAGTCTGGGGCACAATGGAAGTGGGGTTGCAAAATGGTGTCTTCACCAGTGGCAAGGTGAATTTTGAGCAGACTAGAAGATGGAGTAAGTAAGTCACGCAGAAATATGGTGGGGAGAGATTTGAGGAACATTGAGACCAGTGTTGCTGGGGCAGTTTGTATGTGAGAGCGGGGACATGTTGGACATTGGAGCAGATGAGGTCTGAGTGGTGGGGAGTGGAGATGGGGCTTTGAAAGGACATTGGGTTTTTATTCCAAGAGAAATGGGAAGCCACTGAAGGATTCTGAGTGGTGTGATGGACCTTATGTCTGCTGTCCAAAAGTGTCTTATTGCAATATTATAATTATTATTTTTAAAGCAGTTTTTAGAGACATAACCCATAATATAGTTTTCTGTGTGTTTGGAATTTAAGATGACTGTCCAATGTTCAATAAAAACTAGTTGTTTGTCGAGTTTACCTAGTTAAAATAGCACAGCAAATCTCATAGATTGCTTTTGAATATGTTTTAGTAGTTTTTATATAGTTTAATGGCTACATGCAGAAAACTGGGCCAATTAGGGAGAAAGGAGGATAGTAGCATTTATTGAGAACATATGGTCTAAATGATATGACTAGGGTAAAGAACTAGTATGTGGCAGAGTAGGGATTAAAAGCTTGGTCTCTGGTTACACACTTGACCCCTCCTTAAAAACAAAACAACAAAAACTCAGCAAGCACATTTTGAATATAGGTGAGGAATTTTTTATTAGTTTCACCCTGGTTTCTTATATTAAATAGTTGTTTCCATATATAATCAAGTTATCTGATTTAAACATTTAAGTAATTGAAAAAGTAAAGCTCTTTTGATACATACAATAAAAATGTTGAATGTAAAATGAACTTGTGGTAGTGGTTTTCTTTTTAATTTTTAAAACAGCTCATCTCATTTGAATCAAGTGGCTGTTTTGAGTTTGGCCTCATAGATTGGGTCCAGCATAATGAAAATCTGTGAGAAAGCCCTCTTTTAAGTTTCAGTATGTGTTCAAGTTGTGATAGTGTTAGCCATGTCATTTGATGAAGAGAAATAGTTCCAAATAGGATTCAGTTGCTTTGTGGACACAAACAAGCTCTTGAATAACCTGCTGACTATCTAGTTTGCCTAGTCACGTTAGGTGTATACTCCCTACCTAAGAGAAAACAAAAACAGAAGGGAAAAAAATGCCACTAAAGCATCTTTTATCACTATGTCGAACCTATTTATATAATTAGTACCTAATCAATGATTGGGGCTGCTTGTTTTCATTGTAAAAATATGAGAGATTTACTTTTAAACAGTTCTTTTCTAGAGAACGTGAAGAAATTTAGAAAAGCACTCTTGCATTACACTTTTGAATCCCTCAACTCTGAACATAGTGTTCAGCAACAGAGATAAGTTGACACGGCCCATTCCTTTGTTACATTTTTCATTTCAATAAACGTTTAAAGTGCTTATTATTCATAGAATTCTAATGTTTCTGGATTTCGGATTTGAGTAATTACTAAATCTTAGAATTAGGAGATTTTATTTTTCAAGGATCATTTATTCTCTTTATTTGTATGACTGTTGAGTGCTGGTCATAAGTTCTTTATGGAACTTAAAATCTCATTTCTTTATTTTTTGTTAGTAATCTTTTTTTTTTAAGAAAAGAGGTGTATTGAGAGGAAAAGCAAATTTAAATTAGCTATCTTGACTGCTTGTTAGAAGTTGAAGCAGTAAGTTTGGGAGAATTAATTGAAATATGATAGCTAACACAAGTATTTTAAGGAGGTAATTTCTATCCTATTATCATAGATAATCAGGAATTAGCAAAAATAACTTTTTAATAGTCAAAAGAATTTTCTCTAAACCAAAATCAAAATATTTTATTTACAGTGGGCGTCATCTTTTGAATAATAATTCTGTGGGTGGAGAAGAGAAAAATCCTTTAAATTTCCATTAACTGAATAATTTTTTTTTAAATCTGTGAGAAAAATCATTTAAAAACATACAAAACTGCCCTGACCAATTTGGCTCAGGGGTTAGAGCGTCAGCCTGCGGTCCAGAGAGAGACCCAGGTTCGGTTCCCGCTAAGGGCACGTACCTCGGTTGCGGTTCATCCCCGGCCCTGGTTGGTCGTGTGAGTAGCGGCCATTTGATGTGTCCCTTTCACGTTGATGTTTCTCTCTCTCTTCCTCTCCCTCCCTCCTACTCTGTCTGAACAAAAAATGGAAAAATGTCCTCGGGTGAGGATAAAAATAAATAAATAAATAAATAAACATACAAAACTAGTTTGCATCTTACAAGTATACATACTGAAATATTTTTTTTCAAGTGACTTGCCATTATATAAAACATCATTGGGTATAATAATTGTATATAGTATAATATTCCATATTTGACTTGATGTAATAGTAGTATAGCACCTCTTAAGAGTTCATTTTAACTGTCATTCAGAGTGCAGGAAATTTACAGATGAACGATAAGAGCCACAGGCCTAACCATAAGTAATGATTCTAAACTGCAGATTATCATTTAAAAGAATAGAGAGGGGTTTTGTTTTGCTAAATAGTTGAAATTGTGCACATTTGCTTATATTTTCTGGCCAT